CCGGGTTTCCCCTAAAATTTGGGGACCTCGGCGAAACCCTATGCCTGGCTTCCCCCTTGGGGGGGCCTAGGCGGTATGTCCTAAACCCTTAACCAAACCCTAAAACGAAACCACCCCCACACGCAAACCGCAACCTTGGGCGGGTTGGGAGGGAGGGTTTGAGCCAACACAAACACGTCTCACGGTAGTCTCTGGGGTTGGGCACTCCAGGGAGTCTCACGGTAGTCTTTGGGGTTGGGCACAGGGCCATGTGATTAGCTCCGAAATGGACACCCGTGTCATCACAATACATCATCACCGGTGAAGACACTCGATTCCACAAGCACCCGTTCGAAACACAAGTGGCAGCACACCACATCAAAACCAGCCATTCCCCATCTAGACGCTCGATTCCACAAGTGCCCGCTGGAGATGCACGTCAGTGGCAGCACACCACATCAAAACCGGCCATTCCCCATCTAACCGCTCGGTTCCACAAGTGCCCACTGGAGATGCACGTCAGTGGCAGCACACCACATCAAAACCGGCCATTCCCCATCTAACCGCTCGATTCCACAAGTGCCCACTGGAGACGCACGGCAGTGGCAGCACACCACATCAAAACCGGCCATTCCCCATCTAACCGCTCGATTCCACAAGGGCACACTGGAGACGCACACTGAGACGCACGTCAGTGGCAGCACACCACATCAAAACAAGCCATTCCCCGTCTAGACGCTCGATTCCACAAGTGCCCACTGGAGATGCACGTGTGCACTGGCAGCACACCACATCAAAACCAGCCATGCCCCATCTAGACGCTCGATTCCACAAGTGCCCACTGGAGACGCACGTCAGTGGCAGCACACCACATCAAAACCAGCCATTCCCCATCTAGACGCTCGCACACCACATCCAACCCAGCTGTTCCCCATCTAGACGCTCGATTCCACAAGTGCCCTCTCGAGACGCACATCAGTGGCATGACAGCACATCAAAACCAGCCATTCCCCATCTAGACGCTCGATTCCACGTGGAACCATCCTTCCCATCGCAAATGATTGTTTGAAAGCGGTTTCCCGCTTGTGGACGCTCATCGATGCGTATTTCAACCCAGCGATGCGAGATAAAACGACCACTTGTAGAATAGGGTTTTGGGTATATTATACTATAACTATTTTAATTACAATTGGAAATTATTCTGGCCCCTATTTTAATGGCATTTTGCCGCTTAGCAGGCACAGGATGCAGAAACTGAGCTGACCGCCACCTCAAAAGCAAGGCAAGCCTCTGCAAGGACAGCAAACGCCGGGTTTGGAACCCCTAAACCCTAAACCCTTAAACCATAAACCCTAAAGCCTTAAACCCTAAACCCCTAATCCCTAAACCCTGATGAGGGTTTAGGGTCCGGTCGCTTTGCAGCATTTCGTTAAGTCGTGCGAGGGAACAGCTGGCTGCAGCAGGCTGAAAGTCTGAATGTGTTTCATTGTTACTATATCGTTTATATACACATATATATATATGTGTATATATGTATGTATATATTAACTAATTATGTATTAATTATGGCATGCTCTAGGACATTATAGTATAATGAAGCGCCTCTGGTGTATTCGCAAAGACGATGGTCCGCACGTCCGGACCCTGCCAGCGCCAATGCATGTCTGCAACCCTTTCTTTTGATTCTTACGAACACTGGCCGCTCTACACTCAGTTTAGTGTTTTGGGTCTCGGGTGAGTCTACGCCATGGCACGTCTGACGCTCAAGAGCTATAGGTTTTGGAGGAATACCTGACCTACGAACAACGATGAGACTTCGTAATGATCCTGCCGCACCTGCTTCTCCAGAATCTCAAGGGCCTTCTGAATGCGGAGCTGCAAGTTCACCTTGCCTGGAGCGAAGAAACAGTTCGCCACCATCGTGGCCATAGGCCTTTTGGTAGACATCCTAAGTCTCGCAACCCAGTTAAACAGCTAGCTAGCGGTTCCGTACAAAGCATCGCACCCCTCCCTCTGCGACGAACCAACGAAAGCTGCGAGAAAAAGGCCTGGAGAGGTGAGGCAAGTGAGCCTACTCGTTTGATGTTGAGGTGTTTAGATGATGTAAATAGCGGGGACGACACAAGCAGAATCTGCCGAAGTATCCACAAACACGTGAGAATCAGCCCTCCAGGACCACTCCATGCAATCATTTGCCGGCCTGTCCCCGCCTTTCCGCCTTAGCATTCCAGTCGATGGCAGACAAGGCGTCTGAAGGGCCATGAAGAACGCTTGTGACTCCTATCCGGCATGCCGTGCAACGTCCTGTTCTCACGAGATTAGCCAAGGCAGTGCATCCCAAAGATTCTGGCCCAGATGTGCCCAGCCCCGTACCGTTCTTTCGCGACTCCTCTGGGATGTAGACCCAGGCCTGCGGTTGCGCCATTGCTTCAGCATCTTCACTTTCATGAACTGGGGCTCGAGGGCACAAGGCTTGGACAGAGGGGTTGGGATGGTAGCGCCGGAACGGCATAGCCAACAAGCTGCTTGAATCATGGCTGCTGGGAACTTCAGAAGTTGCCGGTGGCAAGTTCGAGTTCGACATGCATGGAACTGCCGGCATGTAGAAGCCAATCCGATTGTGGTAGGGGGCCAGACGATCTTTCCTCAGCATTCTTCTGTTTCATGACTGAGTACTAATTCAGGCAGGGGAGGACACGGGAGGGAGAACTGCTGGGCATGGCGAAGTAAGCGCAGCATAGTGGGCTGGCACCCATCCAGGACACAAGCGAGTTCCCGCTAAAACTCTTGCAATTTCCTGCCTGCGCTTCAAAAGCGAAACAGAGTCTGGGCCCTGAAGTAGCCGTAAGCCAACAAAGCCTAACACTCGCTTTGTGGCAACAGCCGGTGATTCATAACAACTTTCCGTAAGGGCCTTGATATTAGGGTCCATGTGACTATTACTAATTAGTACTAGTGCGATTGCCATTACACCCCTTTGACTATTTCTATTGCCATGACTATCCCTGAACCCTAAAACCTAAACCCTAAACCCTAAATTGCTGTTGCTGTTATAGTCCCTGAAGGGCCTCCCTTTCGATGCCGGGATGGCGGCGATGAAGCCACGGGCTCCTCGGTGCCCAGACGCTCGAACTTTAAGTTTAGGGTTTAGGGTTTAGGGTTTTAGGGTTTAGGGTTTAGGGTTAGGGTTTAGAGTTTAGGGGACTTTCGTGGGGCTTTGTAGTTTAGGGCTTGGGATTTGGCGTGTGAGGGCTTAGGGTCTAGGGCTTAGGGTTTAGAGTTTCGGGGCTCAGGTTACGGGGCTCTGAGCAAATACTGTCCTGTAAGTGCCAATTACTCAGCATCCTTAAACCCTAAGCCCAAACCATAATGAATCCTGACTCGGACCCGTCAAGATGTGCGAAGGATATGGCTCGAATGAAAGCTGGATCCTCGAGTGGAGTGGCGAACGTTCTAAGAGAGGGGCGCAGCTGGACTGCAGGAACTGTGAGGCTTTGCAGGGTTTCGGGTTTTTGGCAGTTACATGGGTTCTGCACCAGAATGCTGAATCGTCAATGTCCCACCCTCACATCCGGCGCTGTGGTGAAACTGAGTTACGTCTCCAAAGATTTGAGTTGGCACCCTCGGCGTTGGGGCGCCGGCGCGATCCTGACAGCATTGGGATACCATCTCTTCATCACCTTGCATATCAGGCACTCCAAATCCACGCAGAGCAGATGCACCGGCAACACCTTTATCCCGCCATCCCAGAGGCGGGGCTCTAGGGGGGCACAATTATGTGTGGGCACAATGTGGCTGCAGAGTCGGCATGAACGATACACGGGTCTCAAAACAGGCTGGAGCTTGGGGGTGCATATGATGGTATAAGGCAAGATTGTTGTAAGCTGTGTTTTGTTGGGATTTAGATTGGGTTGGGCCAGCAAGCAATAATGGTGGTATGATGGGCAGATGGAAGTCCTTCTTAAACAAATACTACCATGATCCCGTGCGGATCTCTTCGGATTTTGGAAATATAGAGCCCTAACCCCTAAACCCTAGAATAGAAAGAGCGCTCGCGCTCTGCCGTTGGGTTCGCAGCCCATTCGACGCTGCCGACACCACTGTTGTAAAACCTCAGCCCAGCTGCTGAGAGTCATCCCTGGTCTTGTAAGAGGGACCGCGGGGTGCTACGATTTCCGCGAGTCTAACTCTCAGATGTCGCCGTGACTTTCCTGATTTGAGGTGGCTAAGCTCATGCTGCTTTGAGCATCCACCTGAGAACAGGGCGAGTTGTCCTGCATCTGGGAGCGATCCCCGATGATGCAGCGGCCCCTGTCATGTCTGCAAACCGACTTAGGGCTGAGGGGTTTTTACAGTCTTGGAGGGGCGGGTCCGAACTTTAGGACGCGAGCATCCCAGCTCTTCATTCTTTGGAAAACCCTGAGCCCTAAACCCTCAGGAACATTACTCAGCCGTCCGACATCGAAGTCTGCAAGAGCGTTGTCAAGACAGCGCCATACCGTAAATCCTTAAACCCTACCTTCGAATCCAAGTACTACAGGGGCCTAAATAAGTACCAATACTATTTTGGGGTTCTCATTATGAGTATAAAATAATCTACCCCAAACTAAATCCTATTCTGATTTTCGAGGCCCCTATTATAACACTTAATGCGCACCTGGAGTAGCTCGGAAGTGTGGCACACGAAGCCACGAAGCGGGGTCCGTTCTCGATGAGGAGGCCGATTCCCGGCCTAGGCTTCTTGCTTCTTTCAGGCTGGTTCTCATACGGTTGATGATATAAATCCTGCATTACCCATAACAAGGAATATACCATAATTCACATAGTTTAGGGTCCTTAAGGTACTGCAGGATTTACATAATCAACAGTAAGCCCCCCCAAGCTTTTACGGACAGAGCTGGGAAGTCTGAGTTCTCTGGAAAGCCTAAACCCTAAAATCCATAAACCCTAAACCGTAAACCCTAAAAGCCTAAACCCTAAAACCCTAAACCCGAAAACCCTAAACTCTAAAACCCTAAAACCCTAAAACCCTAAACCCTAAACCCTAAAACCCTAAATCCTAAAACCCTTAACCCTAAAACCCAAAACCCTAAAATCCATAGGCTGAAGCCTGGGCCTCGACAAACAAAAGCCTCGGCCCCCCACCCGCGTAGGCTCCGCCGGCGGACGGCCCTCTGCTCCTCACCATCTTCGAACCTGCTCATGATTCTTTGGGGTTTAGGGTTTTAGGTTTTAGGTCTTAGGTTTTAGGGTTTTAGGGGGTGCAGGGGTTTAGGGGTGCAGGGGTTTAGGGATTGTTCGTGCTGATAGCCATCGTTGTTGCTAAGCGCAGATGCTGCATATCTTGACTGTTCCGCACGTGTTGAGACTCTTCTGGTTCCACCCATAATGGATCTCGCTGATAGGCACTATTCCAAAACCAGTCTTCTCGCGGTTGCACCAGTCTTCTAGTTGGGGATTCGAACGTTTCCGGGGATGGGGTCTTCGTGGCTTCTTTCCGGCTCAGATGTTTAGGGTTCGTTGTGGAGCTGGGACGTGATTCCTCCCAGGGAATCAAGCTGGAGATGGTGAGTACATGACACTATGCTGCAGCATGACCCGGGCATCGTGGCGCAGGCATTTCCGTGTCCCTCACAAATGGCCAAGCTGCAAAATACGTCGTTCAAGTGAAGACTTGACTTAACTCTGCGGGCCCTCGCGGCGTCTGGCATCTGCGGGCCGTATCAAGGGTTAACCCGTCTTGGTGGTCATCACTACTATGTAACGAGATGATCGAGTCGCTGCTAGTCTTTCTGCTTCCCGTGCACCCTAAACCCTAAACCCAAAAATCCTGAACACCCGAACCCGACAGCTCTAAACTGCTCGAGGAGGGCACTGCCACGCCTCACTTTGAAGGTGCCGTCCTTGTTGTGCCATGCCAAGCCCGAGACCCAGTCCATGCCTTACTCTGCAAGATCTTTGAAGTTAGGGAAGTTTAGGGTTTGAGGGTTTTGGAGCTCGGGCGTTTGGGGTTTAGGATTTTGGGATGTTGAGAGCCAGGGGTTTGGGGTTTGGGGCTTTAGAGAGTTTAGGGTTTCGGGCATTTGGGGGTCCTGGGGGCTTGGGGTATTGCGGGCGTTCGGGTTTTTCAAGTTGGGCCGGGAATTACCGGGCTCTGCCTCATCGAGCAGTTCGACTCTTTCTGGGAGCTTAAACCGCCCCCCACTCTCGAAGAAGTGGCGCTGGGCGATCCTTCATGGACACCCCCTCCCCCCAGCATCTGGATGACCACAACAACAAAAGCCAGCTGGTATAAACCCTAAAGCCTAAACCCCTAAACCCTAAACCCTTAACACTGTATTGAACCTGCAGCCTGAACATGTATAGACCAAAACAGGCCTAGAGACGGAGATGATGCTTGCAAGACCACAGACTTCACCTTCTTTTATTTTAAGCGAGGATCCTCGTGCCACTTTGGGCATCGCACCGCACACCTACTTGCTCTACGTCGGTCTGGGCAGGTCCTGAAAAGCTACTAGGCCTTACTTCGGAACATCCCGGTCTTGACAAACACATCAAACCTACTGTCGGTCAGGGCTTATAGTAGAAGCCAAAAAGTTGGAACATCAGTATCCTCGTGCTATTAAGGTAAGTTGTAGTACCCCCTCGAAATCATCCTGGTGGGGGGGGGGGGTGGGTCTATTCTTCCAGAGTGGGGGGGCGGGGCCAGAAGAAATAGGTACGGGGGTGAAGTCACGTTCGGAGCCGATTGCCCCCAGCAGAGTCCCTACCCCATCCCCAAACCAGACGCAAACACCTTGCCTTGCCTTGCCCAAACACCAAAAAGCCTAAAACCCTAAGCCCTAAGCTCAAGCACTGACTGGCGCAAACCCCAAACTCTGGTTTGCTGTGGGGTTTAGTCACTGCTGCTCTCACTGATCTTACCTTGCTCACCCTTCTTGCCACTGTGAGCCTCGTCAGTTTCAACCCTTGTGCGGAGCTAGTTCTGGCATGTGTCATTGTGAATGCAAGGGCGAAAACAAACACTTCAGGTTTTAATTCGATGTGAACTGCAGCATGACAAAAACAGCCCTGGCCGTAGATGAGACTATTGTAACTTTAAATTATAGGAAACCTCATGGTCCTCTTTTAAGAAGCCTTCAAACACCTTTAAACCCTTCATGGACACCCTCATGGGGGCATCTCTGGGAAGGAGTAGGCTCTATCTGCAATGAGCTCATCGGAAAAGAGGGCGAAATAAAGGCAAATTACCAAACAACTTTCTGAATGACCGGGTTTAGGGGTTACAGCTTCAGATCTTTCCCAACGAGAAGTTCTCTTCGCCCCAAATCCTGACTACATGGTTCACACCTTCCGTGCCATCTAAGATGCGTCGCTAGCATAGCTGGTGCTGTTGCACTTTCAACCCTACACTCCTATACCAAA